GCGCCAGGGGCGGCCTCGGGGGAGCAGTCGCGGGTGGGGCGACCCACCCGTGTCCGTGTCCCACCCGTGTCCGTGTCCCCCCAGCTGGGCCTTCCTGGAGGTGACCACCAACGCCTCGTACAGTGACAGCCTACAGGCCTACGCTGCCGGGCTCGCCGAGGCCGCCGTCTCCGAGCAGGTAACGGGCAACCTCTCCGAACCCGGGGTCCCGAGGGGTGCGACGCCGTCCCTCCCCTCTCCCCCGGCTGACCCCCACCCGTGACACCGCCGCCGTGTCCCCCAGCTGATGTACATGCACTGGATGAACACCATGGTGGGCTACTGCGGCCCCTTCAAGTACGAGAGCAAGTACTGCGAGAAGCTGCGGAGCTACCTCGAGGCCAACCTGGGCTGGATGGAGGAGCAGATGGAGAAGGGGAAGGACCCCGAGTATTGGCACCAGGTGAGGACGGGGTACCCCCACCCAGGGGGAACCCCCGCTACCTCCCTCTGGGCTAATTGGGGCTTTAATCAAGAGGAGGGGACAGGGCAGTGAGGGGTGCCCCGGGGTCCTGGCCGGGCTCCAGGCGGGATGACGGGGATCTGGCCGCCGTGGATCCTCTTCCCCTGGGCGAGCAGAAGCGACTCGTGACTTTATCCCTGTCAGAGCCTCACGTGCTGCTGTTGGGGTGCGCAGGGGGTGGCTCAGCCCCTCCCCGGCCACCGGTGCTGAGTCACAGCCCCGCTGATGGCACCGCTTTCCCCCAGGCCTCCTCCTGCCTCTGCAGCAGCGCCGGGACCCACCGGATCTGCCGCGTCCCCTGGGGGAAGGGGGGAGCCCGTCCCCTGAAATCCCTTGCCCTTCTTCCATGCGGGAGCCGAGTGCCAGCTCTGTCCCCCGTCCCCGCAGGTGCGCCTGGCCCTGCTGCAGCCAAGGGCCTGGAGGACAGCTACAACGGGCGCCTGGACTTCCCCCGGGGCAGGTTCACCCTGGCGCCCTTCGGCTTCCTGTAAGCTCCTTCTCGGAGGTGATGGAGAGCGGGGGGTGGTTGCCCCAGGGGTTGGGGTGCTGCTGGGGGGAGGGGGGGCCGTGGGGACGATTCCTAGATGTCCAGGGACACCCAGTTCTGCTCCCAGTCCCCCTCGCCCACCTTCTCTGGGCGCTTGTCCTCTGCTGCTGGGGCAGGATGGAGCCAAGGCAGGTTCTCCTCCTCCCCCGCACCATGGGCTGGGTGGTGGGTGCCCCCCCCAGGCCCGCTGCAGCCCCCTGCCTCAGTTTCCCCACTGCCGTGCTCACCCTTCCCTCCCTGCTCAGGCTGCTGGGGTGCTTGCACCTGCACCA